ATCTATCCCTCCATCCCTCCCTCCATCCCCAGCACTCCCTCCCTGACTGAGCTTCGCTGTCCGGCTGCGCCGAAACCCAGCTGGGGGGGCTTGGTCCTGGGTTTCCCCAGGCTCGTCCTGCCCCGGCGGCTCGGCTGAAGGAAACGAAAGGCAATGGGTTTTGCATGTTTTCTGGCATGAATTAAAACACTTAACTTGTGTATGTGTGAGTGTAAGTTTGTTTGTTCTAGCGTTTGTGTAACCGTTAGCAACAGGTCTTGGCCCAACGGATTGATCCATCAAGGTTTTCATCTTGCCTCGGTGAAGACTTGGCTTTGAGAAATACTAACTGTCCTTGTCTCACCCCTTCTCCCACCTCGCCCTCCCCTTCCCAGTATGACCAGAAGAATTTGAAAAATGTTTCTTTTTTTTTCTCCTCTCCAAGTACGATGCACTGGGTTTCTGTTCTCATCCATTCTTCTCTGGTTTTAAAGTCAGGGTTATTATATTTTTTTTTCTTCTTCAAACTTCTATATATAGAATGGCTGTAAAATATCTAACTTTTTTTTTCCACATCCTTCTGATTGGAGAGCATCCAGTCCTGCCAAATAATCAGTCATCCTTATGGGAATACCGAACAAAAAAAAAGTTACGAGTATTTTTGTACCATGTGTAATAAGGAAATATTTATGCATCATAAAGAATTTCTTGTGTGTTTGTGTGCAATTAATTATTATTATTATTGAAGAGAAATTGTAATCCTGTAAGATAAGTTAATGTTTAGTTAAAAGCTTGAAAGAGAAGGGTTGTCTTCTGTAACAATGATTCAGTCAGGCATAGTAAACAAGAAATTGTGCAATTTTTGTTTTAGCATCTTATTGCTTGGTATTGAAGTGCTTTAAGTATTATATGACCATGGCTGTCTCGCTTGTACTAAAAGATTTGAGAACTGATCCTATGAGAATGTGAAACTGGATAATATATGAAATGCAACAAAAAAAAAATATATATACCCAGAGGCTGCTGTGACTCTTTTTCTGTGGTCTGTTGTGTTTTGTTCTGGGGCTGGGTTGGGATGCTTCAGGCTCAGCGGTACCTGTGCTCCTTGCCTGGGTCCCCAGCCCTGCCTGGAGGGATGCAGGCTCGTCTGGGATGCTGCTGAAGACCAGGAGTGGGGTTGGGGCATCTTCCCCCCACGGCTAGGAGAAGGGCAAGTCCTTGCCTGCATGGATGTGTGTTGGAGGGACTGTTGATGCTGAGCTCTCCTGGAGGCCTCCCAGAGGGCAACTGTGAGCTTTTCTGGGTGTTTTTGTTTCCCCCCCCCCTCTCCGCCCCCAGTGCCTGTGGAGGCTGAGGGCCTCTCCTCCGTGCCAGCGCTGTTCCTCCCCGCCAGCGGTGCAGTGAGGAGAGATGGCCATAGAAGGCAAACGTCCTCTGCAGCTGCAGCATCGCCCCATGCCTGACCAGCTCCTCCTCCGGTGCAGGGCGCCCTGGCCGGGGCTGCTGACTCTTTTTGTGGCCTTATCTGTACCTGCTAAAACAGCCGTGGGAACTGCAGCCCTGGGGCAGGGGGTGGTTGTCCTGGCGGGATGAAAGCGGGGCTGGATGTTACAGCGGGAGCTGCCTGTAGATGCACTGGAGGCAGCTTGCTTAAATCCCCGGGGGGCGGGGGGGCCTGGGGGGTCTCCCCGCTGTGTCCTAAAGCCCTCCCATGCGGTTTCCCACCCCAGGGATCAGTGTTTTACTCCTTCCCCAGGGCTTCGAGGGCAGCGCTGAGCAAAGGCAAGGAACAGGGGAAAAAAAATAAGAAAAAGCAAAAGGCAGGTCTAAAAATAGCCCCGCTGGCCACCGTGCCTGGGAACGGGCTCGGATGAGCTCTGTCTCTCCGGGAAGTGACTCGCTGCGGGCTGCCCGAGCCAGAGCAGTGCTGCCAGCCCCTTCCCCCCGGGATCCCCCTGCCCACAGCCCAGGCAAAGCTTGCTCCTGCCTGTATCCCGGCTCCTGCCTGCATCCCAGCTCCTGCCTGAATCCCAGCTCCTGCTGGACCAGCTCTTCCCTGTCGGGTCCATCCTTATCTCGCAGCTCTGCTCACCTAAGCAGAAACACCCCGGAGAGCAGTCAGGGCCTGGTGATGGGAGCGTGCAAGGCTTTAAATTATAGAGGAGATTTAAAAAAAAAAAAAAAAAAGCCTTTAGCACATGCATTAACATGGCCAGGCAATGAATAATTTACGCCCGGCTCTATTAAGCTTTTACACTGGGACCCGCGCAGCACGGCTCGACCCGGAGCTAAAGTAGGTCACGTCTGCTCCGCGGGTCCCCGGGCGTCCCCCTCCCTGGCCGGTGGGAGCATGGCGCAGGTGTGCACGCACACGTGTCTGTGCGCTTGCTGCCTCCATCCATCCGCGTCTGCTCGTGCAGGTGTGCAATGCCCCTGCTCCTCCCGGGCGGCTCCCCCTTGTGTCCTACTCAAAGGGACACTCTCTGGGCAGCGATGTGGGGACAGGGAATGTCCCCAGCCTGTGGGTGGGATGGAGCTCCAGAGCGGAAAGCAGCTCCGGATGGGGCACAGCCTGATGGCAGCACTGGGAAAAAGGGCGCAGGTTGCTGGCACCCAGGTCCTTCGGTCCCTGGCGCTGCCTGGACCTGTTGGGCAGCGGCTGTAGGAGAAAGTGGCCAGAGAGGAGGTGGGCACGTTGGGGCTGGGAGAAGAAGGAATAGGGGAAAAAGGCTGGTTTTCGCACACTTTCATTTTACATTTTACTGGACACCCCCCCCATTCTTTTCCTCATTTTGAAGGTAGGACAATAAATAAATAAATCTGGAGCTTTCGGACCATTTTCTCCCTAAAGCGCCTTGCTCCATCATGGTGTGTCGTCCAGGCACTGCAGCAAGGAGCACTTTGGAAATAGAAAATCCAGCTGCTCTGATGCAGAAAGGCCTCTCGGCACAGCTGTGCTGGACAAGCTGCCGTGGACCTGGCCCGGGCCCCCATTTGAACTTGACTAGACAAGCTTGCAGCAGGCCAGGGCGTCTTCAGGGAAGCCAGTGGGAAGCCCAGGTGCAAAACTCAGTCCCTGCTTGAAACCAGAGGCGTAGGAAAGGAGACAGGTCATTTAACACCTGCATTCATCCAGGGACCTGCTGGTCGCAAAGGAATGCAGAGCTCCTGTCTCCAAGCTTAGGAGTACCTCGCAGCACTGATGCTCTCCTTGTGGTCCTGCATACCTTTGCCAATGATTAAGGGTATCCAGATGCAGCCCAGTCATGCAGGTTGCATGATCTGGTACCTTCAGCCCATTCTTGTGGCAAATGCTGATGAAGAGTGATTCAAACAGCTTCTGCAAAGGCTCAGAATGGCTCCTGCAAACCCCAGCAACTTCCATCTGCTGGTCTGCACCGGCAGCACAGGGAGAAGAGCCTCTGTCGCCATCTCCTTTCCCCAAGGCATCCCTCCTCGCTTGGGCTGAAGCCTTTCATTGTTGAAGACCATTTTGACCTCCCGCTGGAGGACAACTCTCGTGAGTCTCCAAGGACAGGGGCAGGGTTGTCTCCAAACCTGAGCTCTGCCTTCAGTGCTGTTTCTCCATCTTTATTTCCAGTCCTGTTGGTGGCCTCCTTCCTGCAGTTAAACTCTACCCAGCTGGTCAGAAAGCCAAACTCCATGGGACCACTGATGTCCTCCCAGTTGTTCATACGTTTGGCAGACATCAACCGCCACCACCATGAGGAGATGTCTCAGATGGCCCCAGATCCATGCTGCATCAGGAACCGCCAAAATTTCTGGCTTTAGCAGCTACTGCTCCCAGCTGACTTCCAAGAAGCTGCAGCTCACATAATGTTGCTGGGATTTCCCTGGCAAATGTGCGTGGACCAGCCCTGTGCAGATGAGGAGCAAGTCTGCTGTGGCCAGGGATCATCACATGTACTGGCTCTGTGGAGCCCCAGCCCGGCCGCGGCATGTGGCCAAATGAATGGCCAAGCTGCTTGATTACGGATGAACTTGGTAGGACACCTCTGGAAGAGGCAGGCTTGGCTGGCGGGTGTACAAGTAGGCTTACCCAGGCCTGAAACATCACCGGGAGGGCAGAAAGAGCTGGGAAATGATGGAGAACAAGCAGGGAGGACAGAGCACACTGTCTGCTCCCCATCTTCTGTTTCCTTATTGCAGAATGGCCCCTCCCGTGAGTTTTTCTTACCTGCTGGGCTCAGATATCACCACACTGTCTTACAGCTCCAAAAATACCTTTGCTATCCCCCTGTCAACCACCCACTTAAATTATTCCTCAACCCAGCAAGAAGTCTGTAGAGACTTGGAAACAGCATACCAAAACCCCAAACAGCGAGCACAGAAAGACACAGGTGATACATAAGAGACTGCACAGGGGTCATAAAAGTTTGTAGAGACAAAATACGCCCTGCACAATATCTGCTGTTGAAAGGCGAGAGGTACCCAACCCACCCCCAAAGCGATGGATCACAGCCCAGAGGGGCTTTGGGAGTCAAGGTGCTGCTGCGATGGGATCC